AAAAGCAGCCAACAAGAAGACACAGCAACCGGGTTTACCGGGGCTAGAGCATATATGCGCCATAAATATCTGAAGACTTGTGACTAAAGGTTTCAAGGAATGTGTAAAACTTGGACACGACAAAGTATTTGATTTTAGATATTTCTGGGTTATATTCCTGCTCTAGCACCGGTAAACCCGGTTACTGTGTCTTCTTGTTGGCTGCTTTTCGTTTTGATAAGTTTATGAATTCACATATATATTTGATAATTCACATTTATTATATATATATATATATATATATATATATATATATCATGGCTTGGCTTCCCAAAACGAAGATCACGAGTGAGTCTGTACACATCACTTGTAGGTACGTTTGTGACTGATAAGTCCAGTACAGGACAGGTATACTCGGAAGTGGTCCGCTGCAAAGCCACATCTGTGTGGTCAACAAGGGCAGCATCGTCAGCAAAGCAGAGGTCTTGGATAAGTTGCTCCAGGGTCTTTGTCTGGGCTTTTAATTGTTGTGGCATTTTTTTTCTGTCTAGTCGTGTCCATGCTTTTAATTCCTGAATATCAGAAGGGCGATACTTGGTGCGTTAGAGATAAATACTTACGCTTCACCATCCTGCATCTTACATTTTTAAGTGTGGGTTTTATGAATGTTAGTGATACGAAAAAGTGTGTCTGTCATGTATTTATAGATGGAAGGATATTAATTAATATTTCTTCTAAATACTTTCTTCGTAACAATGATGAACAGACAGCACAAAACTCAAATGCAACGGAACATTCTTTTCCACAACTCATTTCCCCAAAATTCTGATGATGCTTAAATAAAAGCAAAACATGTTAAATTTAAAAACGTTTCCTATAATGTGTTCCATATTTTATCATATATATATATATGTATGTATATATATATAATTACTACTACTACAAACGTTATTTTTAGTTGATACACGTATTTGAGCTCCTTTCTTTGTTTTTCCTTAAATCGTGAAATTAACAACTGCCTTAATTAAATTATATATATATATATATATATATATATATATATATATGGCATCTTAATTTAGGGCAGTTATTATATATATATATATATATATATATATATATGTTAATTGACACAAAAACTCAAAAATACAGCACAGCAAAACATGATTATCTTTTACTGCAGAGAGTTGCATTAAATTTATAAATAAGATAAATTTGCCATGTAAATGTATTGTAAAACAATATATTTCTCCCGTCAAATCTAGCAAACACATACTAAAGAATAAAAAAAAACAAACTAGCAGCCGCTTAATTGCCAATAACAACACGCCTATGGCATCGAAACTTCAAAGCAGCAATGTAGTTTAATTTCGTTGTCTCATACAAGATTTTAATTCTTGAAATAAACAAATAATCATATAAATTCAACTCTGAAGTTGAATTCTTACATTCCATTTCAGTGATCTTAGTACAATATGGAAGCCTTTAAACTACACACAACTATTCACACCCATAAACAATTCTTGCAGATAAAAATGTCATTCTAAAAGAATTTTATTGTAAAAAACGTTTAAAGATAATGGAAATAAACTTTATGACAAAGTTTAATCAAGCACTCAATATAACTGGCTTTCAAATGAGCCTCGACGTGTTATAAGTGTTTGAAGGTACCCCAACGTTGAATTGCTAATACCTGCTATACAACACAACTTAGAATACAAACACAGAATAATATACTAACAAGTAGCTATTGGAAAATGATTAATGAATTAACACGATAAAAACAATAAAACACTTTTCTTGTCCATCACATTCAATGAAACAGTCATAAAAGAAGGACTGCCGCCAATATATATATATATATATATATATATATATATATATAAAAGATAAAAGGAAAACTTTATTCATATTTTCCTTTTACAGATATACACTACCTGAATTTTTACGCAGATATTTAAAAAAAAAAAGTTCTACTAAAATTAGCACTTTTTCCCCCACTCCCCCACTCACCAGTTGCATGGGGCCTCAACGCGGTTGAGAGGTTCAGGGTAGTAAGTTCAGGGTCCCGTCGATTATTATGTTGATGACTGATAATATAACTTAAGTAGAAAGAAGCAAAAAGTACAAAAAGCAAAAAAATCACTGCCCCTTTTGGGACTCGAACCTTGTCGGTGGTTCCTTCGTAATAAGCACCGCGCCGGCCAATGGTAGACACACGATGTATATTATTAGTTGATGAATGACAATGTAACGCCAGTTTAAAAATAATTTTAAAAAATGGCGGATGGCCATAAAACAGTGCTGAAAAATGGCAGGGACCACAACACGGCTCCAAAAAACGCGGCTCCCCGGTCGGGGGGTTTCGGGGGGTAAGACGTGCTGGTCCTGTGGATATTAACCCATGTCTGTACTCTTACAGGTACACAATCATGCTAATAGCGATTAACATCTTGCAATGCAGTATTTCACGGTTCTTTCACCATTTAAAGCAATACATGAAAAAAAGTTGTGAGTGATC